TGTGCGCGCCCGCACGCATTTGGTACCCCCTGGACCTCATGGCGCGCGGGCTCGGTGCCGCTGAGGCGTGAGATCCCATTCCGTGCGCGCTCGCACGCATTTGGTACCCCCTGGGCCTCATGGCGCGGGGGCTCGGTGCCGCTGAGGGGGTACCAAATGCGTGCGGGCGCGCACGGAATGGGATCTCACGCGCGTGAGATCACACTTTGTGCGCGCCCACACGCATTTGGTACCCCCTGGGCCTCATGGCGCGGGGCTCGGTGCCGCTGAGGGGTACCAAATGCGTGCGGGCGCGCAATGGGATCTCACGCGTGTGAGATCCCATTTTGTGCGTGCCCGCACGCATTTGGTACCCCCTGGACCTCATGGCGCGCGGGCTCGGTGCCGCTGAGGGGGTACCAAATGCGTGCGGGCGCGCACGGAATGGGATCTCACGCGCGTGAGATCCCATTTTGTGCGCGCCCGCACGCATTTGGTACCCCCTGGACCTCATGGCGCGCGTGCTCGGTGTCGCGGAGGGGGTACCAAATGCGTGCGGGCGCGCACGGATTCGGATCTCACGCGTGTGAGATCCCTCTTTGTGCGCGCCCGCACGCATTTGGTGGCTCTTCATCCATCCCGAAGCCCTGCGGTGTAGGGTTTAGGACGTACTTCGCAGAGGTCCGTTGTTGAAACGAGAGGCGCAGCTGCGAGCAGAAGGAGTGGGTTGCCGCCGGCTTGCCGCGCGAATGCTTTGCCCAACTGGCGCAATGCGGATGGGGGGAAAGAACTGGAGGGCGCCAGCGTCTGGCTAAAGTTGGGAAGAGTCACGCGCAACGCTGCCCCTCGGCAATGCAAGTCGGTTCGATGACTCCCGCGGGTCTGCGGGCCGACGGCGTCCCGCGCCAGCGGCGCCGCGACCAGTCGGTAGAACTCGCGCGCTTAAGTGTGCCGGGGCTGCCCACAACGAAGGAGGCGCTCAAACTGCGCATGCCCATCGCTGCGCTGATGAAGGCTTCCATGAGCACGAACGCGTGGCAAAATATTGTCAGTGTGGTTTATTTGTGTTTTCTGCTCATGGCTACAGGTAGATCCCCTGCAGCCCGCCACGACGGCAGAGTTTGGTTGAACTCTGACTTTCGCAGGAGCAAGGAGGCAGGTGCTGACCCGGGCTACAGGTCTGCGCTGGTGCAGACGCGCGCAGATTGGGGGCGCTGGAAACAAGTGCTCGGGCCCTCGCAGTTCAGGGATCGGGCGGGGCGCTGCTGGAGGTGCCGCGCGACGCCGCGGCAGGCCCCTCATTCCTCGTCTCTGTCTCCCGCGCCCCCCGCCCCCCCCCCTCGCCCGCGCAGGGCCCCAGCCGGGGCGCGTCGGCAGCGCGGCGCCGCGGCGGAGCGACGCGCGCGCGAAGACGCAGCTCATCCAACAATTACTGAAACATGATGCTATTATGTCGCCGACGACGTCAATCCCATGGGTAGACCAGTCGGTCTGGTGGACCGACTGGTTGCGCGCAGCTGGTTCTGGCGCGGCCGCAGATATGTTCTTCGCATTCGTGCAATTGAAAAGTTTACTCGCCGCGCGCGTGGCGAACAGGGCAAAGCGCGTTTGGGAACGCCTGAGTGCATTGGGCGAGCGGACGCCAGAAGCGGATCTAATCCACCCCTTGACCGCGATGGCCATCACGCGCGCAAAACATTGCGCCGCGCAGGGCAAGCTGCTGTTATCCGACCCGCGGCGCTCTGTGGGAAAACGCTCGTCGACGAGTTGTGCGACCCGAGTGTCGTTGAGGAGGCAGCGATGAGACGTGCTTTGTTGCACTTGTCTCAGCGTTGCCCTTGCTTTCGATGTGGCGGCATAAAAAGGGGGAGTTCAGTGTGACCAGCCGATCAGGTTCAGCCTGCAATGCGCCGCCGCGCGCGGCATGCGCCCCAGAGTGCATCGCATGAAACCGAAGATTCACCAATTGCTCGAGATGGGCTAAAGAGCCCTGCAGGGACATCAGCCCGATACATGTTGGACATACAGAGACGAGGACTTCGGGGGCACGGGCGCTCACTTCGCCGCGCGCCGTGGCAGCGCGCTCGCGCCTGAGGGATTCAGCGCCGCATTGATGTCAAGATTCCTCTCGCAGCCATTCGAACGAATCTTGTGATGGGATCGCTCCGGCCGACCTTCTCGAAAACATGGGTCGTCTTCCCTCTTCCTTTGCTGGGGGGGCATGCCGATCTGCCTCGGCCCCCCCTCCTCGCCCCCCCCCCCCCCCTGTTCTCCATTAGTTGTTTCTTCGTTCGTCTTCGTCGATGTGCCGCGGCCGCTTTTTGTCCGCGCGTTTTTCCTGCAAGCTGCGCCGACCTTGCTAATGATGACCGATGGCAGCCTGGGGCGCTCGATGCTCCGCGCGCGGCGCCTTCGGCGCCGGTGGCAACGTGGGGCCGCGGCGCTTCGCGCAGCTGCAGGGCGGCCCCTGGCGGCGTCGCCGCCGCCAGCAGCGCGCCCATAATTGCCGCTTGCAAGTTATCGCGGAGCTGCGGGGCGCAGACGCGCCCGCGGCCGAGCAGCTGGTCGAGGAGCGCCCGGCGATCGCGGCGGAGGCGCGCGCGGGCCAGGGCGGCGGGGGGGGCGGGCAGGCGAGTCAGCGGCGACGGCTTCGCTCAGTGGAGGCGCGCGTCGCCCGCGCGCCCTGAACCGGGAGCGCGCCCGCTGAGACAAACGTTCGCGGCGAGGGGGGCGGCGCCTCTTTTCGAGGAGAATCCGCAAGGGGAAGGGGATGGAAAGGGGGGGGGTGGAGCAGCATGACTTCAACGAGAAATTAACGTAACACCAGAGAGGAAATCGCAAGGGGCCTTTGTTATCAAATCGCGAAAATTGATAAGTAGAGCCTGTAACTCTGCATGCCCTAACTAACGATGATAGCTAATGAAAGCAGATTGGACCCCCGAGGTGGGGGCTTCCCTGGCCCCCCCCCTGCGGGGAGGGGGAGAGAGGGAAGGAGGGCCCCTCGACGTTTCCTTGGAATTCTAAACGCTTCGCGGAACCCAGCAAGCTCATCCAGAAACGATGCCCAGAGGAATTGCCTCGATCCGGGTAGTGGGCAGCACGCAGAGGAAGGGCCCCTCAGTGGAGGCCTTTTGGACCGTCTGGAGGCCGCTTGGCGGTCCTAGCGTCTTGGGTGTTTCGGAGAGCTTATTGGGGCCTTTTGGGGGTCTCTGAGGGGCCTCTTGGAGGCTTCTCGGGTGCCCATTGGGGCCTTTTGGAGCCCTCTTGGGACGCTCTTGGGAGCCTTGGGAGCGCTCTTAGAGCTCTCCTGGGCCATCTTGGAGCCATCTTGAGGCCATGGATTGCCATCGGAAGCGAAAAGGCTAGACAACCAAACGCATTAATTTCCCAAAGGTTCTGGGAGAATTTTAGCCTCTTCGGGCCCTCATGGGGGGGCTCTTTTGCCACTTGGAGCCGTCTTGGGGCCTCTTGAAGCATCGTGGGAGCCATATTGGGGCATCTTGGGGTATCTTGAGCCATTTTGGGAACCATCTTGGGCTGTCCCACGCGCTTTTGGACTCATCTCAAGCAGTGCCCCCCCCCCCCCCCCCCCCCCCCGGGAGGCCAAAGTGTAGCCAACACGTTGAGACAATTTGTGATGTTGGCATTGTTGCCGAGGCGTTTTGCAGCGTCTTGGGTGCGTTTGGGGGGCCTCTTGGGGCCTTTGGGGGTCTCTTGGGAGCTTCTCTGGAGCATCATGAGGGCCTCTTGGGGGCCTCTTGGGGTTTCGTGGCCACCTCTCGGGGCCCTCTTGGGGCGCCCTTGGGAACCTGTGGGGCGCTCGTGAGGCCATCTCGGAGGAGATCGATCGAATTAGGGGGATCTTAAGTAGCGCCGCCCCCCCAAGAGGCCAAAATGGGCGCATAACCTTAGTACAGCCAGCGATGTTGGCTTCCTCGCCGAGGCCGTTTTGGACGCCCCGGGATGAAAAGGAAGGGACATCCCTCGACGTCTTTCTGGAATCCTGTGGAGCCGCGGGATGCACGGGAGAGGCGTCGCATGTGACGTGGGACTTCCCCGGGAGTTCCCTGCCCCCCCCCCCGCGGGGAAGGGATGAAGGGCTTCCCTCGACGTCCTTTTGGAATTTCTGTGGGGCCGCGGGGTTCCCGGGAGAGGCGTCGCATGTGACCCGGGAGTTTCCCAGGATTTCCTGGGGCCCCCACCCCCCGCCCGGCGAGGAAGGGATGAAAGGGAAGGGGTTCCCCTCGACGTTTTTCCGGAATTGTTGTGGAGCCGCGGGATTCCCTGGAGAGGCGTCGTATGCGACCCGGGACTTCCCCGGGACTTCCCGGGACCCCCCCCCCGGCGGGGAAGGGGTTTCCCTGGGCGTTTTTCTGGTTCTGGACTTTTTTGGAGCCGCGGGATTCCTGGGAGAGGCGTCGTATCTGACCCGGGACTCAGGACAGCTTCGGAGAGAACAGGAAAAGATCCGAAAAGCCTGTTCCACACGCCGACACAAGGTCGGCGGATTTGCGATGGCCCTGGGGCCCGAGCAAAAAAATACGAAACCGCCCTTTTAGTGGGCCCTGGGAACGGCAGGGCCGGTTGTTTCACCGTCTCCGAAGAAAAATCGTCTCTCGAAAACGAGAGCGGCGACGACGCGGCGACCCTAAATAGCAATAGAAACGGCTCCGGGACTGGAACCGGAGCGGGAACCGGTAGCAAAAACGGCGACGGAACCAGTAAAGAAACGACGTCGGACCCAGTGACCCGATGTCGTGATTTGTTCAATACGCGGACCCCGGAAGGCTCGACCCATTCCCAAGCACCGGCTTTTCATCCTGAGTCGTTTTTTGACGGTTGGGGCCCTGCGAGGGCCCCTAAAGAGGCCGAACTTTGAGAAACATCTCAGTTTTAATTCATGGAATGCGAGGGATCTCTGGGGAACCGGCAGACAAACGGCACAACGGGATGGGCCCCCAAAAAACGGCCCTGTCGCTTCCAGGGCCCACTGAGGTCGGCCCCGGCCGCGCCCCGCTCAGGCCTCGGACTTCGCGCGCCGCGCCCTCGGGCTGTAGAGAGGCGCGCGCCCCGTGGGCGCATCGATCTCGGGCGGCCGCGCCCCTCCCCGCGCGGTTTGCCCTGTCGGGCCTGGCCTCGCCCTGCCGCCTTGCGGCCGGCCGCCCAGAGGGTCGGGGGCTGCTGCGTCGCAGAAGGAGCCCGAACCCCTTCGAGGAACCACAGAAATCACGACGGGAGGCTCTTCCGAGTCTTCGGCCTCCGGGGTGCCGGCCTCCTTTTTGAGGAGACGCTTTTTCAGAACCCCCTCGAGGACCCGATGCCAGAATGATTTGGAGCACCCGGACAAATGTCGAATCGGTGTCGAACGAGTATCGCCTCCCAGGGCCCGGCGCGTGAAAACCATACAGTTTCGATATTTTCCTAGTGCGCGAAACTCGTTTTGGTGATCACGGCTAAAGTAGGTTGAAACATCATAGACCTTGCAAGACCCCCTCGAGGAATGAAAAAGTATCACGACGGGAGGCTTTTCGTAGTTTTCGGCCTCTGGGGGCCCTTAATTACCGGGCCTCGGGACCGTGAAAAAGCGGCTCAGGACGAAAAACCAGTCCTGGGGAATGGGTCGAGATTTTTGGAGGTCGACGTCACGAAAAAATCATGACGTCGGGGGTCTGGGAACGACGCAATAAACATAATCTTTTGGCGCTCCGCGCGGGTTTCTTGGATCCGCGCTGGGCCGCCCCGGCGGCGCCTCCGGCGCCGCCCCTGGCGCGCTCCGCGCGCTAGGGAGGGGGGTCTGGCGCAGATCCAAGAAAGCTGCGCGGAACGCCAAACGATTCTGTTTCTAGCGTTTTTTTCGATGCGACCCAAAGATCCAAAGTTTCAAGGCTCGTTTTGGGAACCTTCCTGTGGACATCTCACAGGTCTGTTCGGCTCCAGTTCGATTCAAGTTCGATTCAAGTTCCATCCAAAATCGACTCAGGTTCGACTCAGGTTCGACTCGAGTCGACGGACGTTCGACGCAGCTTCGATGCACGAGCTGAGTGAGTGTCTCTAGAAAGGTCCCCAGAATGAGCATCCAGCGAAGTGTTACAAAAACCAAGACGGAGGTTGATGGCCGCTTTCGGCCTCTAGGGGCCTTCGCCAGGCCCTGGGACCGTCAGAAGACGATTCGGGATGGAGATCTGGTCCTGGTCTGGGGGTCCACGTCATGAACAAGCATAGCATCGGGTCTGGGAGTAGATGAGGTTGGAGCATCGCGCCGCATGGCCGATCCATTTGCGATGCGGCTCGATTGGGAGCCCGATTTTCTCCACGCCGACGGCGCCGATGCATCGCCGATGCATCGCCGGTGCATTGGTGATGGATCGGCGATGCTGTGTGAGCCTCCCACCCCATCAGCTTCGGCTCCATCTGGGAGGCCTCTACTCGCACAGCAGGCTCTTCGAGGAAGTACAAACGACATGAACACATTGACGGAAACTTTAGCATGGCGCGTCGCGCTCCCAGTTCTAGCTCACTGCGCCTCGGCGCGACACACTGTCCACTTCCTTCGGATGCAACTCCTGGGAGGTCAAATTCTGACTTCGACCTGATCCGGAAACTGGCTTCTTAGTCCGGCTTCATCCCAGTGAAACCGGCGTAGTCCCGCTCAATTTGGCTTCATCCCGCTAAATCCGCGGCCGAATCTGGCGTAGCAGCCCCCCATGGGGCCTAATCCTTCTTAGTCCTTCCTGACGAAGACCTCACGGTACAGTTACCCCCATAGCAGGGACGGGTAACCTTCCCAAGGGCACCCCTGCGTCCTTAGATTAGTTTGGCAGTGCGCCGCCTGAAAAGCACCAACTGGGGCATCCAAGGATCGTCCAAGGGTCGTGCGTCCTTACAGCGCGTCCCCGCTACAGATTTGCACCGTAGTTGCCTCCTGAACTTCCCAGTCCGCAGGCGTCCACGTCCCGAGCCAAAAAAACATAGACACAATTAATCGTCGAGTCCCAGGAAATATGGGAAAATATGGGAAGTGGGGGGGAAATACAGAAACAGAAAATATGGGAACAGATGGGGAATATGTCTATGTGTGTGTATTTCTTGATGTGTCCTGGGGCCCCTTCAGCCTTGCCCGGCCCGCGGAGCTGAGCCACACGCTGTCTCCGCGCACGGCGCAGCTAGCGTGTGGCAAAGGGGGCCGCCGCCGCGAGGGCCGCCGCCGCGGCATGCCAAGCCACAGCTCCCGACCGTCAACCCTCGGAGGTCCGCGCGGATCTCTTGGACCTGGGCCCCCTTCTCCTCCTCCCCCTCTTCCTCTCCTCCTCCTCCTCCTCCTCCTCCTCCTCCTCCTCCTCCTCATGTTCCTGTTCCTGCCACTTCTTCTCCTGCTGCTGCTGCTGCTCCTCCTCCTCCTCCTTACCATCATCATCATCCTCATCCTCATCCTGATCCCCTTGCGGCGCCTCCAGCGCCTCCCCTGGCGCGCTCCAGGCGCCAGGGTGGGGGTGCCAGCGCTGATGTAAGAAATCCGCGCGGACCTCTGAAATTTATGTTCATGTCGTTGTTTGTTCCTCGTTTGGTTTACTCCGGCCCACATCAGGTGGCCAGATGGAGTCGCGGATTGGTGTTCGCTCGGTCCTGGTGTGGAGTTCCAGGCTAATACCGCAGAGGAAGTGGCCACTTAGCGGCACACTTCGCGTTCTGCTTTTCTACGGAATAGGTCGGCCACGCGCAGAGGGGGGTAGGGGAGGAGGGAAGGTTTCTTGGAAGCACCGCTGCTTCTTGGAAGGCCGGGCCTTCTAAGAAGCAGCCTTCTCCTAAGAAGCCTTCCCCCCTCCCCCCATACCCCCCTGTGCGTGCCGCCAGATAGGTTAGATTGTTTCAGGTGTTCGATCATTGACCGCTTGCCGTATGCAACAGCCCATTCAGCTTTCGCACAGGAGACCGCCGTCGAGACCAGCATGGACCGCCGTAGACCCCCGATGGAACGTCACAAGACCGCTGAGAAGGCCGTCTGGGGGCCAGGTATATCAAGGGGTCCATGGTCGAATATATTGAATTCTTGGACGTGGCGGAGGGCAGTGCGCTGGATTTCAGACTAGGCCCGCATGCGGCTCGCCACGCTGATTTTCAGATCCGCGCGCGTGCCCGCTCTGCAGCTCACCACGCTCAGCGCATGTCTCCAGCGCCGCAGCCCCTCGAGAAAAGCGCGCGTGGGCGGCCTGCAGCAGATGACCTCCCAGGGCCTGCGACCAAGAAGGCTGGAGGATGCAAGGGCGCTGTAGTAAACTCAAGGCTGGGAGAGACGGACCACCCTTGGGTTCCTGAGGGGCAGTGGCTTCTGCAGATCTGGGCTGGGGAGCCTAGTCGTGACCAAGTGCCCGCGCTGGCCAGAAAGGCTCCTCCGTCTCCCGTCTCTAGCCTTCCTTCTGGCAGCACGATCGCTCTGGGAGGGTAAGAGGGAGCGGGCGACGATCACGATGGAGGTGGTTGTAACGATGGTCATGACTGTCGATGCCGCCGTTGGCTGTTGGTGCTCATCGTTGATGCTGTTGGTGACGATCGTGGTCATGATCGGTTACTCCTGATGATGTTGTTGCCGAAGGCCTGGCCTGAACCCGATGTGGCCCGTGTGCTTCTTAGAAGCAGTAGGGCTTCTTGGAAGCACCCCTGCTTCTGAGAAGCAAAGGTGGATGGGGTTCTCAGAGGGGGAAGGGGGGATAGCTTCTGAGAGGCCCCCCCCCTTAAGAGGGGCTCTGCCACGCGCAGAGCGAGATGGGGAAGGCTTCTCAGAAGCAACCCTGTTCCTCAGAAGGCACGGGCCTTGTGTGTACATGCAGTGCAGACGCCTTCTAAGTAGCAGCCTCCTTCCAAGACGCCATCTTCCTCCCCCTACCCCCCTTGTGTGCGCCGCCAAGCTACCGTCTCAAAGGCGATGTTTCACCCCCACCTCCAAGCTTTTCACGAAAAACAAAGCCGATTATCAGAGGACGAAAAGGTACCCATACCGCTACCCTTCGCCCGTTTTCTTCTTCAGGGGCCTTCTGAGAGGCCCTCGTCGCCACCGCTGGATTCGCCTCGAAATGGTGGGAAGAATGCACCCCGGGAGGGGTCTGGGGAGTAGCGGTATTGTTTCTGGCTTGGTTTCCCTAGCTCAGACGAGGGCTAATCGGACGTACCCCTGTCGAGGATGGACGCCCCCCTGTCCTAGATCTCCGAGTTGTGCCCCAAGGTTCTGCTCCACTCGAACGCCCCGCGCAGTCTGGGATAGGGGTCGACATCCCGTGTTACCGCCCGCCCCCCCCGCAGTAATGTCCCGAGCCTTTCCCGGCCTCCCGCCCCGCGTAGCGGAGCGACACGCTATCACCTCGCAGAGAGTAGCGCGTCGCCGGGGCCGCCGCCGCGACGCGCCACGCAAAAGTCCGTCACCGTGGAGCGCGGGCGGCTCCGCCGGCGGAAACTCGGCGGGGGGCGGCACATGTAGGAGATGCGCCCCCGAGGGGTGCCAACTTTTTTGGATGCAGAGTTTCAGAAATCGGCCACGTGTCATGGCGCCAACCCCGCAGAGCGGATTTTGTGCGGAAAACGATAGGATGGGCCCAGATTGTCCTGTACAATTTCGCTCCAGATTTCGAGGTGAATCCCGTGCGGATTTTTTAACCAGGAACGAAGACTACAAACATCCACGCGAAACGCACTTCGTTTTTCACTCGCCGCTTCGGTGTTTGTGTTGACGGAAATCCATGCAACAAATCCGCTGCAGCACGTCTGCAAGGTCGGTGAAGTGACACGTGCTGTTGCCAGCCCCCGGGTCGACGCACCCGATTGGCTGCCCCGCCAGAGAACCGCGACGTCGTGCCCCCGGCAGCGCGCAGCCGTGCACTCCCCCACGGGCGGCGCCCCTTCTTCCCCTACACAAGTCAAGGCTTAAGTCGGTCCTGCCCGTCTACAGGAGGCATATTCCAAAATAGTAGAGAAATAGTCTTGGGATGTTTTCGTCCAAAACCTCCCTGCGGGAGGACGTGCCCGACCCGATGCCAGCCCCCCTGGCCGACGCACCCGACAAGCTGCCCCGCCATGGAGCCGCCGACGTCGTGCCCCCGGCAGCGCGCAAGCGTGCAGCCCGCCCACGGACGGCGCCCGTTTTCCTCCCCTACACAGGTCCCAAGGCGCTGAGGTGAGGACCGCTCTGGGCTCGGGAGCGGCTTTGGTCTCCGGGGCCGTGCCTCGGGTCTGTTGTTTAGTCGGGCGCGTCCCTCCACAGGAATTAAGAACATTCAAGCATAGCCAACAAATAGTATGGGACGATGTTTCTTACCTAGCAGCGAAGACTGATAGGCTTCTAGTGGGGTCAGAAGAGAGCATCTTGACTCCCCAGGGAGGTCTGGGCAGATGCCGGACGGGTGCCGCGGAAAACCGGGCACTCCCCAGAACCTTATCCCAGGCCACACTTTGACTGCCCGGAGCCAACAGAACACCATTCCCAGGCCACATTTTGAATGCCCGGAGCCAACTGTAGGCCACTTCGTCTTCTTCGTCTTCCCAGAACTCCATTCTCAGGCCACATTTTGAATGCCCGGAGCCAACTGTAGGCCACTTCGTGTTTTTCGTGTCTCCAGAACACCGTTCCCAGGCTACATCTTGAATGCCCGGAGCCAACTGTAGGCCACTTCGTGTCCTTCGTGTTTCCAGAACACCATTCCCAGGCCATATTTTGAATGCCCGTCGCCAACTATAGGCCACTTCGTGCTCTTCGTGTTCCCAGAACATCACTCCTGTACAATATTTTGATTACCCGTCGCCAACTGTGGGCCACTTCGTGATCTTCGTTTTCCCAGAACACCAGTCCTGTGCCATATTCTGAATGCCCGAGCTGAAGCAGGCTGAGGCCGAGGCAGGCTGAGGCTGAGGCTGAGACACGCCGAGGCAGGCTGAGGCTGAGGCTGAGGCAGGCTGAGGCTGAGGCTGACGCAGGCTGAGGCCGAGGCAGGCTGAGGCTGAGGCCGAGGCAGGCTGAGGCTGAGGCAGGCTGAGACTGAGGCTGAGGCGGGCTGAGGCTGAGGCTGATGCAGGCTGAGAGGCTGACGCTGAGGCTGAGGCAGGCTGAGGCTGAGGCTGAGGCCGAGGCAGGCTGAGGCTGAGGCTGAGGCAAGCCGAGGCAGGCTGTGGCTGAGGCTGAAGTTGAAGCTGAGGCTGAGGCTGAGGCTGAGGCTGAGGCTGAGGCTGAGGCTGAGGCTGAGGCAAGCTGCGGCTGAGGCAGGCTGAGGCTGAGGCTGATGAAGGCTGAGGCTGAGGCAGGCTGAGGCTGAGGCTGAGGCTGAGACTGAGGCTGAGGCTGAGGCCGAGGCAGGCTGAGGCTGAGGCCGAGGCAAGCCGAGGCAGGCTGGGGCTGAGGCTGAGGCTGATGCTGAGGCAGGCTGAGGCTGAGACAGGCTGAGGCTGAGGCTGAGGCAGGCTGAGGCTGAGGCAGGCTGAGGCTGAGGCCGAGGCAGGCTCAGTCCGAGACAGGCTGAGGCTGAGACTGAGGCTGAGGCTGAGGATGAGGCCGAGGCAGGCCGAAGCTGAGACAAGGTGAGGCTGAATGGGGGGGGTGGGGAAGGGGGGGGGAGGGGAGGCTGAGGCAGGCTGAGGCCGAGGCAGGCTGAGGCCGAGGCAGGCTGAGGCCGAGGCAGGCTGAAACTGAGACTGAGGCAAGCCGAGGCAGGCTGAGTCTGAGGCTGAGGGTGATGCTGAGGCAGGCTGAGGCTGAGGCAGGCTGAGGCTGAGGCTGACGCAGGCTGAGGCCGAGGCAGGCTGAGGCTGAGGCAAGCCGAGGCAGGCTGAGGCTGAGGCTGAAACTGAGGCAGGCTGAGGCATCCGTAGGAATCCATAGGAATCCTTAGGAATCCCTAGGAATCCTTAGTACGAAGCCGTAGGCATCCTTAGGCATCCGTAGGCATAGTTAAGCATCCTCAGGAATCCTTAGGAATCCTTAGGATTCCTCAGGAATCCTTCGGAATCCCCAGGAATCCATAGGAATCAGGATTCCTAAGGTTTCCTACGGATTCCAGTGGGTTTCTAAGGATGCCTAAGGATGCCTTAGGAATCCCTAGGAATCCTTAGGATTCCATTGGATCCTAAGGCCGTTGCCGCTGCGACTGTCATTGCGAATGCGACTGCGACTGCGAGAACAGCAGAATTCTACAACTGGATTCTCACCTGAATCTTAAGGGAAATGCTTCCAGATATGCTCATACACATCGCTGTTAGGTTGCTTTGCCGGGATAATCAAAATTATTGTTTGACTATTTGAGGGGGTATGCTTGGGGTATTTTCCCAATCAGAGCTTGCCTCTATCAGTAGGGGTTCTAGCGGATTCATTCCCCAATCAGAGCTTGCCTCTGTAGGGGTCTTAGCGGATTAAAGGGTTAGGTGAGGTTTGTCGCTTATTTCGGTGGCCGGGCCCGGGTGCCTGGGTGCCCGGCCGTGCCCGGGTGCCTGGGTGGCCGGTGAGGTGCGTGGCCGATTTCGGTGGCCGGGCCCGGGTGCCCAGAAGCACGGGTGCCCGGGGGTGCCCGGGTGCCCGGGGGTGCCCAATAGCCCAGTAGCCCTATAGCCCTGTAGAGTTCTATAGCCCTACAGCCGTATAGCACTATGGCCATATAGCCCTAGAGCCCTAGAGCCCTAGAGCTCTAGAGCCCTAGAGCCCTATAGCCCTATAGCTCTATAGCCCTATAGCCCTATAGCCCTAAGGTTCTGTAGGCCCTATAGCCCAATAGCCCAATTGCCCTATATCACCATACCCCTACCTATAGCCATATAGCCCATATAGCCCCACTGCCCCAACAAAAATCTGATTGGGTTTTTCTCCGGCATCATATGGTTAGGTTAGGTTTGTCGCCGATTTTCGCTGCACGCCCGGGTGCCCGGGGGTGCCCGGGGGTGCCCGGGGCCCGGGTGCCCCAGGGCTGCCCACTTCGAGAATGGTGGCTCTTATGCTAGTTGCACCCTATGTATAAGTATCGCAAGTAACATAGCTACTTACATGAGCTACTTATGGGTACTTACTAAGATACTTATAAGTAACTTAAGTTGATGT